CTTGTAGTTCTCTTGTGATCTTGTAGTTCTCCTGTGATCTTGTAGTTCTCCTGTGATCTTGTAGCTGCTCATGGCTGTGCTCACGCTGCAGAAATGGACTCAGTGTGGCAGGGCATGTGCTGTCCATCGGACTGTGGAAATTGGCAGTGATACAAACATAACTTGAAGGATACACTGATCGATCAGTTGTGTTGTTTTAATGTGTCGTTGTAACTTTGACCAAGCAGAGCAGCATGCAAAAGACAGTTTTTTGTGTTAAACTTGATGTAAAATGAAAGAAAACATTCAATACAAAAGTTTTATTACCAACAGTTATGCAGTATTTCAAAGTAAAATGTCTGCGCTCTGTTCTCGTGCTCTGTCTCCCTCTCATTCCTCTTGTTTAGTCATGAACTTCAGCGTTTGTTGAGAGGTTTTTTAAATGACGTACGTCCTTCGACTAGAAAAACTTCTCTCCTGCTGGAGCTGGTTTTTTGTTCAAGGTTATAGCAGGAACTTTTTCAATGTTTTCAGACATGAAAAGATAACACAAAGAGGGAATATAAATCAGAGAACACTTGGTACATTGCTTTCTTTCCTGCTGCTCTGCATCACAGTCTGATCAGTCCAGAGCATGTTGGCTTACACAAAGCGTCTTTAGCTCATGAGAAAAAACATACATTTAAATGCCCTCCACATATTTATTTATGAAGACAGAAAGGATTTATTTCTTAATGATTAACCAAGAACGTAACTAGTTTCATATTTAAAGGATACACGCAACTCAAGATATGATATGTATAAATGATGCTCAGGACTTTTGAATATTCAAATAGTCAGTCATTTCATGTTCAGGCCACTTTAATTTTTACTTGATCTTGAAGTGTTTCCTTTACAATCACGCTGTACCTCGGCGCGGTGGAGATGGGGGGGAGGGGTTACTTTCTTAACTAGCTTAGGCTATATGTTTATAATTATTTAACTCATTTTATTTTGTGAACAAAGGACTTTATCTACTCAGCTTCACTCCTGTTCCTCTTCTATTCTCTTCTCCACACAAGCGCTCACACACGACACAAAGAATGGACGGATCTTACCACATGTTTCTCCCGGTCGTCATGACTACGGTCAACTCAGAGTTAGTTTTCATCAGGGGTGAGTAGCAGAGAGAATCATTCCGCAGGTTCCCCGCCAGCCTCAACGTTATCTTTTGTTATTGATTTGATTGAGAGCCCCCTGCTGGTATTCTTTGTTTCCGACCTGAACTTTAGGAATAAAAGAATATTGTCTGACATTAAAGGCTAGACAATTAGACTTCTATAGGATCAGTGGATCTATTAATGATTGGTCATTAGCAGCCCTGGACTTATGGAAGTCAGGTGTATTTATCAGTGATACAGCTCAAAGCTTCTGTGAAAAGCTTCCATGTCATGTTCACTTTCAGTCGCTTTCTGGAGCCAAACAGGAACAAAAATCTGCAAATTAATCAAAACGCAAAGCCAGCAAATAGGATATGCACGGTTTAATTCACATTTCCAATATAGTAAATCCTTTATGAAATGATAGTTAATTCCCACAGTTGCAGCTTCATTTCATTTCATGTTTTATTTTTACCAGTTTGTGGGTTTTATAAGGATCCTCCAACCACACACGGGGGTAAGGAAGCATTCAAACGTGCTGGAGATGTCTAAACATCTTGAATGTGGTGTAATAATTATCTTTTTGCAGATTAATGTTTCTGAGGTTTTCTTTACACCATAGAACCCAGCAGGGGGCCTAAAATGTTCCTACTTCTCAGTTGTCATTTATTCCCCCAGTAAACATTTTCTTCACAATCTTATGGTCTCAATCTGTAGTTTCAGGTCTTCTTCGGTTCAGCATGATGTTCATTTTGAAAATCTTAGAACCAATACGGATGAAGCCGGCTACTGAACAGGTATGTTTGAGGGCGTGGCTACCTGGGATCGACAAATCGTTAGCATCGCGACCTGAAAATATCTTGTTCAGTGTTCAGCTGTGATAAAAGGCCATCACTTTTTCAGAACATGGAGAGCCCTCATTTTTGATCAAAAAGCACATTTATCAACTAAACTGTCCTTAGGGCGCTTGTAGCCTTGTGGTTCTAGCGCCCTATGTACAGAGGCTGTGGTCCCCCAAGAAGGCGGCCCGGGTTCAGGTCCAACCTCTGGCTCCTTTCCCGTGTGTCATTCCCTGCTCTCTCTCTCTCCCGATTTCTAATCGCTCATCGCTGCAACACCTGAAAGCGAACTGGTTCAGATAGAAGTGATTGTACCCGACCTAAAAAGCCTCTGCATGTTTCTAATAAGCTCCACGAGCAGAAACGTGCTCAAACTAGGATCAATATTGGAGATGCTTTTGAAAAATGGAGAGAGGTTAGAACACAGAAAGGTTTACAGACCCATGCAGAGCTGGATAAACACTGAAGCTTCAGAGTCCACCACATGGTGACCTGCATCAAATACCAGCTGCACATCTGTATTCAAGTGTTTTGCGCTCGTACATATGTCGCCCTGAGGCTTATTGTAGGTTATGAAGAATCTAAACTTGTGGAGAAGTAGAGCGGGTTTGTTAAAGGAATGAAAACTGGAGCTTTTCCACCATCTAAAGCTTGAAATGTCAGTAGCCATTAAGTTAACTCTGGCTGACACTGTGTGCAAAGAAAGAGAAATGTGATCGATTACAGATTTAAGTCATTAATCATCATCGTGTCTGCAGCAGAGTTCTGTCTAAAATAATCTGTGAGAGCAGCTGAAGAAACACTCTTCAACAGTTCAAATTGAAAAAGTGAATCGTGGGAAATAAAGAAAACTGTGTGGAAGCTGTTAAGAACAAAGTGCCAAGTGACCCGCTGCTGATGGGGTCTAAGTGGTGTGTGTTTGTGTGTGTGTTTGTGAGGGGGTTAAGGGGTGTTGTTGTCACATACTGTCAGCTCTCTGAAAGCTAAAGCCTGGAGGAATACCTGACAGCCATCTGGCACTTGTTTTTCCCTGTGACACATCTCACACGCACACACAGAAACTTTCACAAGCAGCAAAATGAGGCGCACACACATTTAGAGTGGCACACTGTGATTGAGCCTGGAAGGGATCCAGCAGCTTCTGTTTATTTGAATAATTAACATTCAGTGTTTTGTGTGTTGGAAGCCTTGAACTCGACTTGAGTGTGCTGTGAAAACAATCACACTTTGCACCTTCATATGTCAGTGTTGTCATCTTTTGTTAAATAGCTCCTGCAAGTATTTGCAGCACGTTACATCATCTTTCAATCCAACATCACCCCTGAAGGATTACCTCACCGTTTGTGGGAGTCTCCTCTGCTTTATAACTGCTCCATCTCCCTTTTAAGGTCTTCTTTAATTTCGACACCTTGGCTGCAGCGTTTCCCCGTAGAGGTGTTATTTGTGCGGGTTGACCTCCAGGATGTTGTAGGAAGTTCTGACATATCCAACATGTGAGAGCTCAGAGCTGCCGTGCGGAGGCTGCAGCTCAGAGTTGTAGCCAGAATGGAAGCGAGCCAAGATCCAGTTAGTCGACTCCGAAGATAAAGAAGAGGCTTTTTATGCTGCAGGAACGGAGACCTCTGGGGTTTGATTAATCCAGGAGGACTCTCGAATCAGTCCAGGTTTTTAATTAAAGAAGACAAGCTGCCATGTATGTGTTGAAGGTTTCAAATCAACACACTTTTTGCAAAGAAATCTGACCAGGAGATCCCGTTGAACTTCTTAATGCCCTGCATTAAAACAGTAACAAATCCTCAGGTGCACAGCTCTAAAAAAGACGCTGATGAAGGCTTTGTTCTGAACCCGTCTCTTGTTGATCTGCATGCTGCTGCTCTACCCAGATTATAAAACGTTTAAGGACAATGGGCCTCATTCACTAATACATGCGTAGAAATGTTCTTACTCTGCGCATACACCTGTGAGGTCCATTCATTTATGTGTCTATTCATTAGACACATTCCTGTCATTGTTTTATGAAATTCTAGATCGATAGCATTGGCTTCTCACTATTCAGACCTATTCGTCTGTTGAACTGTTGTTACTGACATGTGAATGCAACTGTTTGAATGCTGCGGTGATGTGTTTGTTTCCTTTATGTTGTCTATGTTGTGTTTTTCAATGGCTTGGTAGAATTGTGAAACTAAATTGCCCTTCTGGGATAAATAAAGTTGTCTGAATCTGAATCTGATTAAAGTTTGTGCATGTGTGAAAATCAGCAGATTCATGAGACGTGGGTACCAGACAGTTTTGTTTCCAACACCTTGCGTATGTTAGTGAATCAGAATCGTTCTAACAGGCACATCCCCGCATCCTGAAATCAACTAAATACATGTATCAGTACGAGAGCAGTGAGGTGAAGCAGAAGTTGCTAGAGATGGCCCCAAAAGGCAAAAAAACATGTTTTGTTGTAGGCATCTAAATTCTATATAAATCCAATTGTTATGCTTCAACTAAAAAAAAACATGAAAAAAGAAAATAAACTAGGAGCTGTTTGGTAAACAAGAGGCGAGTGGAAACAAGGCAGCTATGTTTACTCGATCGTCCTGTCACTGCGGTCTGACTGATCCCATCGTCAGCATCCCTCAGCCGCCAGCCCATTCCCTTTCCCTTTCAGTTCAGATCTTGTTTGGATTTTCTGATTTTTGTGACGAGAGAGTGGAGAGTTTGTAGCGCTGGGTGAGGACTGTCTCTCCGTGTCCTGAACAGGTTTCCAATGTCCAATCAGCAGCCTCTCATCAACAGCTCGGAAGGAAATTACTTTCTTTTCCCCCCCAGAAGCAATCATCACTGGGATTTGTAGTTTCCACCCAAAATATTAATGGTGCATTCCATTTTATCTCGGAAGTCGGAAATTCAGAGTTGCCGGTCTGATGCGTCATCAGGAACGCCCCCCTGAAGTCGGAATCCCGATTCAGAAACTCTGAGAATCTTCTGGGTGTATTTATAAAGCTAACAGAAATCTCAACTTCAAGGTTTTCTTAACGCTGATGTTTCTGTCCAGGACCAGGAGAGCTCAGGGTTGGACAGGTTTCCAGTGGACCAGTATCAGAACTCGTGCTTCCTGTTCGGGGTCGTGGAGGAGCTCCTGCTGAGGTCAAAGGTACCGTGTCGGGTGGAGGTGGGGTCGGATCAGTCGGGCTTCCTGAGTCACTTGGAACAGCACGTCTTTCTGCTGTCCAACGAGTTTCCTTTGTTTTCCATCTTCATGTGGAGGATAGGAGGTCTGCTCACCTCCTCGGACTCATGAGATCTCCTGAACAGGGACACTACGTTCAGATTTTTAATACTTACACCACAGGACGACCAAACAATAGATGAACTCAGCTGGCAAGGATCTAAAACCACCAACGCAGTGGATAGAGGTGCTTGAAAGAAAAAGAAGGAAAACATCATATTGAAAATGAATCAAACTTGGGTTGTATTATATTTTATTTATTGACAATAAATATTTTAAAAAAAGACTCAAAACAACAATGATTACATTTTTCTCACTACAAGATTCTAAAAAACATAATTCATGTATGTTTAAAGTGGTTCTTTAAAGACACAGTATGTTAATTCCACCACCAGGGGGCTCTCAATCAAAACAATAACAAAAGATGATGCCGATGGTGGCGGGGAATCATGGGAGTGGTTCTCTGCTGATTTGTGTATCTCATGAGCAGATGCAGGACACCTTATCTAACCGTGGTCATCTTCTGTCAGACCCCGGGGAGCTGCCACTAGACAATCCTGGGAAGCCTTGGGTGGCTGGATGACAGTGACCATGAAGCATAGCGTGAAGCAGAGGAAGCTCTCGGCCCGCCAACTACGAGTTCACTTTTCAACCTACAGTATGTTTTGAACTGATCAGGACACCTGCCAATGGTGCACTACCTCAGTGCGGTTGCTGATTTCGAACCATGACTACAGTCCAACGCCAGCGTGCATAATGCTTAGTATTAATGTATATTTCACTTTAAGCTTCAGGACAAAAACTGAGAACCTGAAGCTATTCTGTCTAAAGCTAAACCTTCAGGCTTCTCTCCCTGTGGAGTCAGGGTGTAAATAACAACAGAGAACAAACCGTACTTAACGAGAGGTTTAATCTTTCCTACTGACACAGAAGATACATTCAGCAGTGAAAGCACAAAATGTTTGTACTTTAGGAGCATTTTTTTTTAATTCGTTCTTCCTGTAAAGTGCAATTAAACTGTATAACTGCACAACTGAGTGGAAACAATAACCCCAGAATCTAATAAACCGTGTTAACAAACGCTCGCACTGATTCAAAGACGCAATCGTTTCTCCCTTCGGTGTTGTGTTTTTTATTGAATTATTCGACTGAAGCCATCACTAAAAGCTAAATTAGTCATACGTCTTGTTAAGTACTTATAGTTTGGATTCCTTCTTGATTATCTGTCTGTAATGGATCAATAAGGAGTACTTACAAAGGCTTATTTCCTACATGTGAGTAATATCTGAGGCGCTTCCTGTTATTTCTCTCCATGAATATCAAAGGCTCTGCTGTCTTTGAATGCAACAGAGGTGTCACAAAAAGGATCGGCATCATTTCTAGGTTGTTAACTGTCTGCAAATGTGTTCAAAACTTTACACCATCATAGAATTTTGTACACTATGCAGTTAAAGGCACGGTATGTTTGTTCTGCCACCAGGGGGCTCTCCATCATAACAGTAAAGAACTCCGCGTTGACTGCAGTCAAGAGGTTGAGAAAAAGGCAGACTCTACCACTGCCACAGCCCCTCGGGAAATGTGTGCTCAAACAGGCCGTTTGGAGATTTTCCCTTCATGACATCACAAAGAGCAGTAACCCCTCCCCCAGGTGGGTGACACTCCCACAGCTAGGTGTTTGTTCTGCCCTCTGAGTCTGCCTTCTCACCGTAAACAATAGGACATGGAGAGAGAAAGCACCGAGTACACCCAAGCCCTTCCAGAGAGGGGGGCGTGGTCAGACACAGCTCATTTACATATTTAAAGGTACAGACACAGAAACAGCCTGTTCTGAGCAGGGCTGAAATAGAGGGGTTTATAGGCATGATCAAATACAGGATCAGAGTGGATATACTCAGACTATCTCCACACATCAGAACATATAGAATTACTGAAGTGACCCACTGTGCTCATGATACTAATTACTGTGAGATCAGGTTTGTCATTAAGGTTCAATCAGATAAGATTAGCAACATTTTTATCTTCTCTCTCTCTCTCTCTGGATTTTGTCGGCTGGACTTTTAAAGGCGTGTTCAGATCCAACAAGCAGAAGGGACAGAAGAGGACAATGAACAGAGCTTTAAGGACATGTCCCCCCTCTCTCCAGGGGAAACTACATCCTGCCTTGAACAAGCCTGAGATGTTGAAATGGAAACTACATCAGCCTTTTACTTTCTGCGTCTGTTTCCTAATGCTCGGAGCTTGTTAGCCTTTCATCATCCCCCGCTCCGTTTCTCAGCCTCTCCTCCACAAAACCCAGTGAATCCATCTGCACTGATGTTCTTCCTCCCTGCTGCTTATTTGCTGTCTGCAATAATGGCCCAGGCATGAGCGCCGCTAAATAAGTTTCCCTGGTACGTCATGAATTACCAGCGGCTCACGGGCCCAGGCTGCGCTGATAGCCATCGCTCCTATTGTGTCTGCTCCGGGTCTCAGCCCGTCTCCGTCTGAGATCTCCTCATCTTTCATATCCTGTTGAGAGCCGAGCGGGGAGAGGCCGTGCGTTAAAAAAAAAAAACGGACGTGCCCTGATGGTTAATGTGCCTCTGTGGGGGAGTGGATCTGTCTCATCATGGAGGTGGTGGTGGGGGTGGGGGGGTTTAGAGGAGCAGACATGGAGGGATGCTTCATCAGCAGAGAGACCCGGTGAGAGTCTCAGCGTATGTGTATAATCGGTTTCATCAGCAGAGGAGATTATCAAAGCCTGTTGCTTTATAAAGACCTGGTTCTACTTCTAAACGTGCCTCAGCCAAACAACTCTAAACCGCTAACAACGGGCGTAACATTCATTGTTAATACCTTTTTTACATCTTGAGAGTGGGCTGTGTCCTTTATACGGTGGGACCAATATACCTAAGATGCCAAAACATGAGCTGTCATGACGACCATCACATACTGCAAATGACCTGACACAGTTGAATATACCATTATCTACACCAACACCAACATTCTTTGGAAAAATGTGCTGGGATATATGAAGACGTGGACCAGGCTGGTAGCGCCACTTTTTAACATCTTTTTTCCATCATGAGTTCAGAAATCCTGCATTTAAAGCAATACTTACTGTATATATACTGTTCAGCAACTAAAGCTTGTGGAGTGCTGGACTCCTCAGTTAAAGACAACATGTGAGCAGAGGAGGTGGGCAGAGAGACTCGTGGGCTGTGGGTCTCAACTCAGCTAGCATACAGGTAGCTAGCTGAATTACAAACTCCACATGGTGAAAACAGATGATACTAAAAGAGCTACACAGCTGCACAGGAACTGCATAATGTGGACCCTGATGAACACTTATATTCTAGATTTTACTGTTGTCAGAAAAGCAGCTACTGGATATTTACTAGAATCAGCCGTCGCTCCCGTAACCCCCTTCCTGCATCCTTACATTTGCTTTCTGTAGAATCCAGAATAAACTACAAATCATGTTAAAAACATAAAAGACACTGCATAACCTCACCTTTCCTACATCCATATTCCTCTTCACTTCTAATAGGCGTGCACCATGTGAGAAAGATATGCAGTGTGCGTAAACATTATTCAATTATCACAATCGTTGCAATTAATTCAATAATGTGCTAAATATATGTAGTGTGATGGACAAAAAATGAAAAGTTCATAATAGTAGGGATGCATTTGCGGTTCAGTAGTCGTTTATGAATTGTGGTGTATTTGGTTTAACGTACACCGAGCTTCCTGCTCTTCTTCATGTGTTAAACATAACCTGTGTTAGCAGCAGGTTTCTCCTGAATCTAAAATGAATTTCAAAAGCTTTTTTCATCACTGAATTATTTGTATCTGTTCAAAAGGAGAGAGCAACTGTAACCCATGAGCATATGTACTGTAGTTTGCACAGTGCATTCACTTATTGTATGTACAACCGTATATTACCCTAAAATGCTCTAATAAAAACAAAACCAAGAAAAAAAGATAACGTAATAAAAAAAATGTGCATTCTAAAACACAGTAAACGTGCACGTAAATAAACATGAAGCACTGGTACTGGCTCGTGTGTGTTGTGAAGGCCTTTCATGAATCATAAAGGAGTGTAAATTAAATTAGTAGTAAGTAGTTTTGGGAGAGATGAAGTAAGTGTCCAGCAGTGCACTGGACCGCTCGACTATGAAATACTGTAGCCATTATGAAAAGCATTAAAAAAACACTGGAATAAGGTGTGAGCACATAAATCAGCGAGGCTGTGGAGAGGCTCAGTGTGCAGAGGCTGCACAAAGCGTGAGCAGCTTGTGTAAATAATGCTTTACTAAGGCTTCTCCTCACTCTCACATCACAAGGGGGCTGATTTATGAGCAATATGACTGCTTCAATTTGCACCACCCTGACTGATATGGAAATTTGTTTTCCATATGTTCAGTTGATTCTGTTATAGATCAGGTGACTTCTGAAGGCTGGCCCTGTGATGTAGAGGTCAAATGTTAATCCTGTTTGGCTTTCATTGGGTTTATGAGCAGAGAGAGAAAAATATTTTAAATATTTCTCAATTTTTATTTGTGTATTCATAACAAATGTTATCTCGAGACTCTTTACAAAAAGCAGGTAGAAGACCTTCATTTTTGTTCTGTTAAAATAGAAAAATGGGATAGGGGGAGATGGAATAAGATAGCAAGGTGGTGGCTGGGCATCAGGGGGTGGTTGTGGGGACAACACAGTCAGATGGTGGAGGCTGGGTGTCAGGGACGTCGGGTGGTATTAGTGCCTGATCAACTGAAGGTTGGTAGAGTTTTGTCTATTCAAGAGCCTGGCATCTGCTGCCGAGATGAGGCCAAGACATTAGAGCTCAGGATCTCCCAGTAAAATGTGTGGTTAGTAACTAAGATGTAATGCAGTGATTTGATGTGAATGCTGAGATTCTACTGTTTTTATTCATCACAAAAAATGAGGAAGAAGAATGGATCTCTCACTCGAGCAAATGCTGCTTGATGGATCGTTCGTCTGCCAGATTTAACAAACGAGACTATAAGTAAGACGGGGAAAATGGACTGCATTGACGCTGACGTGATGTATTAACAGAAAAAAAAAGACAGGAAACGATTCATATTCTCAACTTGTGGGAGGAATTGATATAAAGAAACATTCGTCTCAATCCTTTGAGCAAGAGAAGAGGATTAAGCGGCTTCACGTCGGTGTACTT